ACTAACAAAAACTATCCATGGATTAAAAGAAATGCTTCTCAAGATAAATCCTATTTGGTTAAATCTATTTGTATAAAAAACTTTGATTAAGGGAAACACAAGAAATGGAAGCTCCATTTCTTTATGCCAGGTTTGCGTTCATCTCGGCCAGACATTTCAGTGCAACCCTGACCTAACATGAATTGTCAGCTTGGTGCAAAGCCACAGGATGTCAGCTCCAATCAGATCATCATAATATCTCCAACTCATTCTGAATTGAATCTCTTTGAGAATCATGTGATGATTCTTGTTTTGTAATTCCTGATACCATATCTCTGCAAAAGTGAGGATTGAAACACACCTCCAGAAAATAGGCCATCCCTTGGAGAAAAGTGAAATGAACTCATGAGATATGCATGTGACATAAATATGCATGAGCAATTTCTGTAGAATATAAGTTCTACAAAAGATGGTGGGTTTTTAGCTTTTAGGAAACATTTCTGTCTGAATTAGCAACTGTCAGAGTGGCATGGTTGAAAAGGTTTTCTGCTGTGGAGAGATGAAACTTCAGCTCTTCAACAGCATAGCTTATCTAGGGAAGCAAGTTGAGACGTAGTTGTCTTAGAGCTCTCCAAACCCAGCAAGGTACCTGCAGAGCTTCTTTGCAAATTCTTTTGATGTTGTCTTGTCCTGGAGAGTTCCAGACTCTCTCTCGCACTTCAGAAGTGTGAGAATTTTGCTTATCTTGGAGAGTAAAGAACCCAGGAGTTACATGGAGATAGAAATAGTAAGAAAAAAAAATACTGTGCTCTCTTCCAGAAAATGAATAAATGTGTGTTTAATGTGATGGCATTGCTTCTTTGTTCTGCTTTCAGAATCTAATTCTGTCCAGCACTATGTAAATTTTTCAGACTTTTTATACAACTCCTGTAGAGTCTTTCCCTTATGCGGAGCAGTTTCCTTTTGGCACCCTTCCTGTGTGCATAGACACTGCACCTCTTTTCCAGAGCAGTGATAAACATTAGCGTTTGGTGCCCATTTCTGGCAGTCAGCAGCCTTCTATCACTGGGAAGTCAGAGTTAAGCTGATGGAGGTTTGGAAGAGGCTTCTGAGGTGACCAAATTCCTGTTTTAAGGTGAAGCTGAAAGTTGCAGATTGGATGAGATCCTCTCTCTTTTCAGCTTTGCCACCCCATCATGAAGAAAGAAGCATGGCCTTCAGTCGAAAATTTTCTGGGTTCAGATTTGGACTGAGCTAATCTTTGATCTTAAAGTTTTAAGTTGATGGTGAGAAAATGGGGAAATGAAAATGAGGGAAAGAATGACATTTTTTAGTATGACTACTGCTTTCAACTTTCATCTTCTAAACTTTAATAAATTTAATCACAGCTAGAAGAGTTCTGGAGAAGTTGAGTTACGTAGAATCATTGGCACAATTTATCGGTTGCAGACAAAAACTAAAATAGAAGTGCAGCATCTAGAATATGTGTTCCCTTCTGCACTGTGGTCTGCAGGAGTATTTTACTAAAATGACTTGCTGCCAGCAAGGCACTGAGTGGGCTATCTCACTGTCTTTTTTGGGTCTTAGTATTCTGAAACGAGAATAGGAAAGTGTAAACAAAGCTGGCAATTTATCAAAGGCATCTTTTTTTAATTGTTTTATGTCTGAGACAAAGCATTATTGTTGCTGGATAACCTGAGATTCTTGTGGCACCCAGTGACTGATCGGGGACTGAATCATAGTTCTTTCTGAAATGTTTTTCAAGTTTGAGATCTTCCATTGTGTGAAACTTCTGACTGTCCAGGAAATGTTGTATTGGACAGTGTGCCTGAACAGCAACGAAGGCTTATTTCCTAAGCTGCGAGGCTGCAGTGGGTGCGTATGGAGGGGGCATCGCTGTCTTCTAACTCAACAGTTCAGCCAGCAGTATCAGCTTCTGTACACTGCTTCTCCAGTACTGTAAGGTAATGAATTATGTACATATGGACCAAACTGCTGATTGCAGTGGTATTTTTCTGTGCTTAGCATGTTTTGGCTCCTGCTTACAAAGAAATACTTCAATTATTCTGGGGTGTTATTGTGGAAGAACTGGCTGACTTGGTACAATCATTCACGCATTGTGAATGATTGTAAATCATTGAAGAGGCTGGGGAGTGCTGCTAATCAATAGAAGCAGGCTTTTGTTAAACACTTTTCTTCTCATGCTTGTTTTCTTGAATCTCTCCAGTAGTGTTGACCCCTGATGGTATTCACATTTGCTTTCTGAATTACCAGCCTTGCTGGTGGTGAGCACGACGTAGATTGTAATGTGGTGAGACTCCACTCAGCAGGCATGGCCTCAGCCTCATCAGTTATCTGCTCCTCTCCCATCCCTCTTTTTTACAGTTTGAATGTTATCTATCTTTAACGTGTAAGAACTAGAACTTCCATGCCAAGCAGACTGTGGGTACGTTGCTGCAACTCTGGGACTTCTTTTTTGCAAGATCACATGCACTCCCATCAGGTAGAATCAAAAACTTTTCTGCTTCAGGGCTTTTATGAAAGTGGACTCATGTCATGAACCTGGCTTTATGAATTGAAAATGTTTTACTCTTGGGTGCTTTTATGATGAAAGTAATAAAATTAGCACTACAGCTGATTCCGTCAGTGCTTGCAGTTGGAGCAAAATAGGAGTGGTCACAGAAGCTTTATTATTCTTCTAGGTCTGTTAATCTGGCATCTTTCTGGAGCAAATAATTTTACTCAAAAGCATTTGATTCTGTTAGGGTAGTTTGTTAGATTTCAGAAATGTGTATGCTCATATTTGTATTTCTCTTTCTATACTTCATTCTTGAATGTACTTGGTCCCTCCTCTGGGAACAAGTAACTTCATGGGGTTCGTGGAGTCATGATGCTGCAACAGATGCTACACCTCAAGCTCAGAGAATCCAACTGAAAAATACTCAAATTTTCATATGTTACAGATGAACTTCCTATTTAAGTCTGGTGGTTTGTTTTTTTTTTTTGTCAGGATGGTAGTTCTTCCTTACTGCTACTGAGAAATAATTTCATTGCTGTTAGAGAATGATTCATTAGCATGTGGTTTGCATTTGCAGGAAGCCAGTTTTATAGAGACCACATTCCTGATGCTTGTTTGTTTTACAAAGGCGAAATGCAGCTGTCTTCCTTGTACGAGCAAGTTAAAGGTGTCTGTCTGGGTCTGCCAGGCTGCGGGCTTAAGATAACAACCCATCCAAGGCTGGCAGTGGCACTTCATCCATACAAACTGGAGCAGACTGCAGGAGCCCTGTGTGCCACGTTCCGTCTAATCACAGGCTTCTGCACTGGGAAGAAGGGCAGCGCTGCCTGCGCAGCCTTTGTTTTCTGAGGGTCACATCACTGGTAAAGTCGAGGAAGGTGACATACCAGACATCACGCAGTGTGAGCTAATGCTTCAGTTCTTCTAGAAAAAAGATTATTTGAACATTGAAGATTACTCTTTTATTACTGGGATTTCTTAGTGGCCAACAAAGTGGGCAAATCAGAAAGTAGAGGTGGATAAGAGCCATTTAAAAACCCCGGCTGTGTATTGGTGCTACGCTGGTTTAGTTCACTGAACCAACCATCCAGCACTGACAAATGCCAGTGCAGGACCGGGGCAGTATCATGTGGCAGGAATAGGTCAGTTGTGTTGTGAAACGGCACCTCTTCAGTGGGGTAGATTTAGAAGAGTAATGAATATGCTGCCCCTAGGTGTGCAGAGCCTGTCTATTTTGTAGAAGGAGCGACCATTGCTTGTTTTTCCTTCCAGGGTTGTGTTGGGGTTGCTGTGTATCTGTATTACCGTTACATCAGATCCTGTGATTCACCTGTAGCAGGATTCAAGAAGGCTTATGGCTTTTCAGCTGATGATTGGGACTGACAGTTTCTCTAGGAAAAAAAAAAGAGCTCTTCCTGCAACTTGGGTGGAAGGAGTTCTGTTTTCTATATGTATAGTAGAGAGAGACAGGTGCTACGGTGATAGCTTGTCTCAGAGTGGGGGAGATAGAGCCTTTTAATGTCAGAGGGTGTTTAAATGCATTGGGCTTGCCCAGGTGCTTCCCAGCACAGAGAGAAATGAAGAGGCAGGGGTCATGAGTCTTCTGAATTCCCCTGGAATAGGTGTCTTGTTTGCAGGAGAGCTGCTTTGTTTGAACTCCATGGGCCTGATAAAGGCATGAATGGGTCAAGAGGCAGGTTGAAGGTCCAGCAGCTCAGCAGATGCCTGTAGTCTTGGTGGGTACAAGCCTTTTTGTGCTAACAGACCAGTCTGTTTTCTTCTGAAATAAACTAATACCCAGAAGCAAAGGAGAACTTGTTTGCTTGTACCCTTGTAACATGACTTTAAATGTCATGTTGCACTATTCTAGAGGGTGCTCGGGCTAGCGTGGACTGTGCTAGTGCTTGCCAGGAGTCTATGTAATGCAAGCAACTCTCCATGGAAATAGTCCCTGTCACAGCAGCTTTCCATCTTCCTATTCTAGTCCAGTGTATAACTTACTTCTCTACAGTGAAGGCTTGGGAAAATGTTTTGGTTTTTCCCCCTACCCTTTGCTGTCAGAGCATGTCTGCATTTGCTGCTTATTACTGCTTCTCCAGCTCAGTAAGTGGTATCTCTCTACCCTGCTTTGCACACTTAACGAGGACCCCAATCCCAGTCTGGTCTGGGCCTCTCAAGTGATGACCACAGTCAGGACTGGATGTGGGGCTTCCATGAGCAGTTAAGCTAATCCAGTGAATTATTGATCCTTCCTCTCTCTGCTATTGTGACTAAGTATGTGAATTAGTTTGGGTACATCCATGCTTCATTCCAACCTATATCTTGCAGATGCGTTGGCTGTGAAAATTATGTCTAGTAATTTAATGGGAATTGAGTATCACTGGGCTATTGTACTGAGTTTGTACAGTTTATTAGTCTTACAAGAAGATCATAGCCCTAAGCAGAGGTGTGGCCTCAGAATATGCCTAACTTGACCTTTTTTTTTATTTTATTTTCCACCTAGGTATCACATGCGGTTGCAAAGCTAGTATTAGTTAGTTTCCACTGGCAAATCTCAGAGATTTTGGAACGGTAAGTGTACATAGTCTTTCCTCTTCTGTGCTCAGTGCTTTTTCCGTTTGCTTTGCAAGAACTCTGAGTGGTCCATAGGTGTCTTTTTGACAAGCGTCTTTGAACCTGAAAGCAGGCCACAGAGTCCATTCCAGGGAGCAGAGGAAAAACACTGTTTTGTTGAGGCTGCATTGTCTGTAAGGTATTTGTAAACAGGGAGAGGGTAGTGGTGGCGAATGTCTTTCAGTCTGAGGAATTATTATCATAATTCCTCTACCCTGTATCATCTACCGTGTAGATGCATTTAGCTTAAACTTTGAGATAACAGATTGAGTGCTGCATCAATGTTTATTTATTTTAACAAATATAAAGATAACATATGTTCTGTTTTGAACATATGAGCCATAAATCATAAAGGAGCATTGAACCTATACTGATGTATTCTTTAGTAGTACATTCACATTGAACATAAGTGATTTTTTTTCCAAGCTGACTAGCGTTTGGAGAGCAGGAGAAGATGGTGTGACAACTGAGAAGTGCAGCCCCTTTGTTGCTTGGTCAATGTCACTGTAACGAAGTTCTCCAGCTGATTTCAAAAGGAGGGTTCGGACTCTGCCCAAACATATATGGGAAGTGTGTCAGGAGGCATTGCTGTCTGGCAGCCCCTCCAGAAAATACTGGCTCAGAACTGAACATTGTCTGAAAATAGAGAGCACATCAGTCTGACTCATTCTGCCATGCCATTTTTGGCCCTGTAGCCAGCAACTTCATCCAGAGAACATATGGGAAATGCATCTCGTGTATGGATATTGTTGCAGCATCTCTGGTAACTGGCTCGTTGGTTACCATGCATCCTGTGAAAGCTTTTCTCTGAGGAATGTGGAGGGTGAGATTCCCCCATAGCAGCTTAGGGCGATTCTGCGGGTTAGCTAACGAGATTTAAACAAGAAGAAGTTTGGGGAAGGATTTACTTCTAAAGCTATGACTTTGCAAGTTGTTCTCCAGTTGATCTGGTCCTCAAACTTCTGTCTTGGCACGAAGTGACATTATCAAATGAAAGCTCCCTAGTACAACTAAAAAGTGCTAGTGGGGAGGGACGATTTACGGCACAGTCACAACAGTGATGCTGCTATTTCTGAATTCATTGAGATATAAACATTCCTCTGCAATGGAAATCACAAACAGCAAAACATATTTAATTCTAAGGCTGCTGATAGACAGCTTCATATGCCTAAGGGGTGATAATCTGTCACAGAGTAAATACTTAACTAGATAATAGACTGGAGTCAAAGTGAGATCTAACCAGGGTAGCTTGATTTTACAAAGGAATAGGAGACAGACAGGAGCCTCACAGGAGTGTGTTATTAAGGGCAGTGGCTTAGGACTGTTCTAGGAGTGTGGATGGAAAAATCTTAGCTTCAAAAATAATTTTTCAGGGGGCGAGAGAGATTTGTAGAAAAATATTCATCAAGGAGTATGAGGGAAATATTAATCCATTACTGGGAGAAGTATTGTGCCTGTTTCTGATTTAGAAGAAACTCTCAAAGTTTTGTTGATGAGAGTTCAGCTCACTATGTGAAGGAGCCTCACACAGGACACACTTCCATTTCCTTGTTGAAACCTACCCTACTGTTTGTACAGAGCCTATTATTTATTCAGATGAGAATTTAACAAAGCAAAATGTATTCAGAAATTGATTTGATTATTCTTCAATTGCCTTTTCAGGCACAAGTCTAATGCTGCCCAATTGCTAGTAGAAGCACGAGTTCAGCCCACCTCATCCAAACATGTAAGTATGCTAACTATTTTGGTCTGTTCCCTTGGCAGACACTTCTGACCCACCTCATCGGAGGATTGCATTACTAATGGCAGAGTCTGTCCCATATTAACTCTTTGCAAACTCAGGTCCAACACCCTAACTCAATGCTGGGTTTACTTTTTAAATCAGAATGCATTCAAGAGGTGTCTGACACTTAAATGGCAGCTTCGCTATTGTCTTGCAGGTAGTGTTCAAGAATTACTTGCCTCAAGAAAATTAAGCTCATTTTTTTTGCCATGAGTGATGGTACACAATGGAAGGAGCAGAGTGCAAGGGCTTGGCTACCTCTTCCCGATTCTGCTCTTTCTGTAAAAGACGCTCAAGGGAAGCTCTGGCTGCACAGAGTGAACAGAGCTTGTCCATGGCTGGAACAGAGATTTTCCCTCTCCCCCCTGAGATGACTGTTTGCTGCACTGCTCTGCTCAGGGATGCTTAAGCCAAATCTCCCAGTGGTGTTGCTGCTGAGCCAGTCAGTAGTGATATTTGAACGAACAGCTTGTGTTTTGCAGCCAGGGCTATACAGGTCTTTAGATACTTCCCCCCCACCACCCCTCTTAAATAGAAACTTCCTGTTGCATGTTTACAGGTTTCATTCACAGGGGGTGTCTTGGTACAATCCACAGTTACCCCAGGAATGCATTGCCGTGTGTCAAATTTTGAGTGATAAAATATTACATCTGAGAAACACTCTTTGGGTTGGGGAGGAGGGGAGATTTTAAAAGCCTGATTTGGCATCTGAGCTGACTTGTAACTAGCAGAGAGTGAAAATGCTAAAACAGCTGACAGGAGTAACCTTCATGGACTCAAAATAAATTATCTGCCTAGAGTCCAGAAAAAAATCTTTGTTATTTGACATACCTGCAAATTAGTCCATGTATTTTGAGATTTGTCTGAATCTTTTATCAGCTGTCACTTAAGTACTCTTCAGTGCAATGGTGATTTCATTTTGGGAAGAAAGATATTACAGTTAAAAGGTTAGTTTAAGTCTTGACAAAATTAGTTTGGTAGGCAATTCATTACAGTCTTTTTGTATGTACTAGGGCAAGTTGCTCTGTGCTTCAGCTCCTAATGCAGAATGATGATATTTTGGCAGCAGATGCTCATACTGAGTGTCTGTAGAGCAACTGACCCTACAGGGAGAAGCTACAGTGGTGAGCTCAGAGGGACAGCTTGCGAAGGTTTGAGGTAGTGTGCTTACTGTTCAAGTTGAGCAGTTGAGGTAGGCAATCAACACAGTTGCAGACTCGGTGAATCTCGTTCTGGTCCATAAGTGAGGCTGCTTAGAACAAAGTTGCATTATTTCCTTTTTCATGTGGTCATGCTATAAAGCAAACTCTGCTTGTCATGTGGCTGCATATCATGCTGCTGCTTCTCTGCATCTCTGGCATGCAGAGCTAGGCATGGAAGGTGATGGCTGTCTCACACAAGCTTCTCAAAGAGTAGCAAAGGTTTAAGTAGATGAAGAGTGATTATATGACTTCTCTGTGAAAGGAGAAATAGGAATGTAAACTCCTGCTAACAGCTTTGTAGAGCCTTGCTTTTGATGATGCTGTGCTAGACCTAGTTCTTCAGGTCCCAAGGGTGAGCCAAGATGCGTTGGAGGCTAGATCTGTTGTCTAGGGATTAGTTCTGCGCTACCCAAGGGGAGATCCAGACTGCTTCCCAGTGGTTTGGTGAAGCAACAGCAGAATTATGCCTGATTAGAAACAAACCATCTAATCCTTTTCAGCTGAAGGGATGGTGCCTGCTTTGCCAAATGTAGCATAGGCAGAAGATAAGAGATGTGAGATGATGATCTGTGAACTCCCTTTCCTTTCTGTATAAACACTCTACACACTGCACCTTCAGTTGCCTCTCCTCTTACCCAAAATTGTTGTCCAGTAAAAGATCACTGCTAAGCCTACGTCCAGCTATAGCTGCTCTCCAGGGCCTGTGGAACAGTGATAGAGTCTGACACAGCTAATCAAGAATATCAGTAACTCAGGGAAGGACTGACACAATGATATATTTCCTCATTTTTCAAGCAAGGCAAGAGTAAGAACCAGAAAAGTAAAGGTGAGTTCTGGGTAGCACTGGATTAGAGGCAGGAGCTGTTCAGTGACTGTCAATCTGTTGTGCTCCGTGAGATGAAAGAGGTTTGTGAGAAGGACCAACTGGGCAGTGCCGCACCCCAACACACCAGCTGCTTATGAACCTTTTCTGGCCTGGAGCTCACCTGAGACCATTGTCACAATGAAGGTGATGCAGGTGCCTATGGATGAGGTGAGAATACTCTGAGAGAGCTGGGATGCTTTCACCGTAATGCTGATTTGTCTCTCTACCAGGCAATGGTACATTCCTCCCATCACTGCGCAGTGTGCATGCAGTTTGTCCGGAAGGAGAACTTGCTCTCTCTGGCTTGTCAGCACCAGTTCTGTCGCAGCTGTTGGGAGCAGCATTGTACAGTGCTCGTCAAGGATGGTGTTGGAGTCGGTGAGTTCAAGGCGGATGTGGTACTGGGTCTGCATTTGCCATGTTGGCCGTTCTGATGATGACTGGCTGAATTGGTCCAAAACATCTCAGTGATGAGAAAATGGATGGAGCATGGAATGAGTATTTGTGACAAACTTAACTTGAACTAGTGGTCTTACCTGGATCCCTAGTTAGTGTTGGCATACCACCAGGAGAGCACTACTCCTGCCTAACAAAACGTGCAAGTCCACAGATCCATTTGCTGCTTTTCTCCCCTTGTGATCTCAAGAGCATGACTGTAACAAGTTAGAAGCTGCAAATCTGCTGCATTTTGAGTTTGCATCTCTCATGAAGTGTTGTTGCACTGCCCTTGGAGTGCTTGTGGATGCAAACATCTGTTCCCTTTGTGTTGGGTAGAAGCCAGTAGTTGCCAGAGTTGCTTTGGGTTTTTCCTAGCCTGTCCTTCATGCTGGCATGGCAGTAACATGCAATTTTCTACTTTAAGTATCTGACCGTGTGAATACTGGTTGAAGCACTTAGTGGCCCTGGATGCACATGTGCCCTGTCATCTTTCAGTGAAGACAGTTGGGCTTCACCTTTTCAGCAGCCCTGATAGATTTGTTTCACAGTTGTGTCCCTCTTGCCATAACAACAGATGGCTCCTAGGAAACTGTGTTGAATGCTCTCTGTGCATTCGCTCCTTAGTATAGGTTACACTGTGCTAAAATGTTGGTTTTTCTTCTCAGGGGTCTCCTGCATGGCTCAGGACTGCCTACTTCGGACACCAGAAGACTTTGTGTTTCCATTGCTGCCTAGTGAAGAGCTGAAAGACAAATACAGGCGCTACCTCTTCAGGGACTATGTGGAGGTATTGTCTCTTTCAGTTTTAAAATACCCTGGGTCAATTCACCAATGACTTGCAGAAATTTTGTTTTAAGTGTCTTGCATCTTTGATTAGGAATGCAGTAACTGCAGCAAAGCTGTCCCTGATAAACACGATGTGGCTGTTCCTGTAGGACAGCCTCACTGACAAAATGCTCTAGCAGGTTGCCAAAGTAAATTCTGCTGTAAGGTCACCCAGTAACTCCTTGGCTGGTGCTTGGCTCTTTTCGTGAAGCAGAATTCTCAGAATGTTGCAGCTGGGGACTTCAAACTTCAATCTGGGTTTTAAAGTCCTTCTTGCTCTTGCATAGATATTTTAGGTTCTGAAAAATAATTTGCTTACCTTAGTGTAGCCCATCTGAATTGACTTGTTCAATAACATTTTATTTGAGGTTTTTTGAAATTAAAGCAGCATTGTTAAGGTTAAATGTGCAGGAAGTATTCTGGTAACTGAGAACAGACTGCGAACTCTCGAGAAGCAGCGAAACAGTATGAAAGAGTGGTGTCACCTCTCTTCAATAAGAGACCCTTTGGGAGGGAACAGCCACCACAGGAGAGCAGCTGAGTACATTCTGGGGCATAAGGAGAGGATGGAGAAAGAGCTCAAATAGAGTAAAACTGTTTGTTCAGTGTCTTGGTGGGGTGTTATGGTTGTGTTGCTGTGCTTACTTGGTCTGTAACCCTGCATTTGAATTCCCTGTTCTAGAGAAGCTGTAAGTAACTAATACTCCCTTTCCTTATGTGGAAGAGGTTTCTCTGCTCTGTTAGCCAAGCCTGGTGACAGTTTTCACTCTTTTTCAATGAGAAATAACTGACTTGTGTGTTTTTGAGGATAGGAGTGGTTAAACTTGAATAGATAATGCTCTTCTGCACCCACTGCTGATCTTACCACCTTGGTATGTTCACAGAGCCATTATCAGCTGCAGCTGTGTCCTGGTGCAGATTGCCCTATGGTCATACAGGTACAAGAGCCGAAAGCCCGGCGAGTGCAGTGCAATCGTTGCAATGAGGTCTTCTGGTAAGAAACAGAAGGTTAAAGATGACAGGGAAAGTGTATGCTGTCCTCAGAGCTGCTCCATTTGCATGCCAACAGTTTCAATGTGTAGAAGCATCTCAAATGCTTTGCTAGAGTTGTTTGTAACTTGAGTTAGCTTCAGTAATTGGACACTTGAGGTCTGACTTCTGCGGGTGGTCAGCTGTCCCCTTGCTCCCTAAACTCCTTGGGAGTTGGGTGTTCGGACAACCAAGGAATGCAGGGCTTGAGTAATAAAGGGGTTACAAATCTACCATTCTCATATTTTGGCTAGGTTACAAATTTTGGTACAGACATAGTGACTGGTAGAGATTCTGGTAATAGATGCGTCACTGCTGTCTCCAGGTATTGAGTTTTTAAGTTTATTACAAGTATTTGACTCCCAGAGTGTCTGGTGTGTTTTGAGGCTCATGCGAGAATACATTTCTGCTGAATAGGAACACTAATGTTCCTTGTCTGACTTCAAGTATATATCAGACCAGAGAAAAAAGCTTGCAGGGCTGCTGAAGTGTCTTCTGCTCCTGGGTCTCCAGAATCACTGCTGTTGAGAATGTCTGTGGAGCGGAATACAATTGGTTTAGAGACCTAGCTTACTGGTATCTCCATGCAAATGGCCCTTACTCACCTGGGGCTGGTAAGGTCATGCTAATGCAGGTCGTGATATCTACCACTGGAGTCAGGCTAGTTGTAAAGCCAGCGGTGTGCCCCAGGCCTCTGCAGTCACGTTAGAGCAGACATAGGTAGACTCTGGGGAGGGAGGTGTCAGCCCTCAGACAAGTGATTTGTCAGAGAAGGCCTCAGTTCACTCCCATCCTGACTCCGGCTTCTGCACAAGAGTGTGGGGGTTTATTGGAGTTCAGCCTTGGTCTTTGCACTCTAGTAATACATAAGTGCATTTGCATCCCTTTCCCTCACTTGGCCTCCCAGGTTGTGGTCATCAGGAAAACCTCAATTTTTGAATCACTTCCTTGGAAATTAATATTATGTCTTTTTTTTTGCCCCTCCCCCCTCCATTAAGCTTTAAGTGTCGGCAGATGTACCATGCACCCACAGACTGTGCTACCATTCGGAAATGGCTCACGAAGTGTGCAGATGACTCCGAAACAGCCAACTACATCAGTGCTCACACTAAAGATGTAAGGACAAGCACCTGCATGTTTTTTCTTGTCCTCTAGTCCTGCCTCAGAAGCAAGATACAATTCTATACATATGTAGCATTGTGTGCTGCTTTTTCACAGACTGCAATTTCTCACGGCTCCCTTGGGACTGTGGTAGAACACAACTGAATGCCTTGGGAATGCTTTGTGCAGGAAGTCCAGCTGCCCTCCTGCAGTAAGGACCTGGTGGTCCTTATTCCAGACCTGGTGTGAATGTCTTTGGCAGCCAGGGGTGCTACCCTCCCACGGGCAAAAGAACTGTGGCTACTTTGAAATGATCAGTGGAGATGTATTTAAAATGGAAGGGGAGAACGTAGTAAGTGTGGAGTCAGTACCAAATAAGGCACTAGTGGTGTTTAAACCTGAACAACAGTGTGGAGTATTGTGAACTGGAAGGTGAGGGAGATAAAGTCTTGATTTGGCAAGGACAGCAAAATGGGGTAGATGAAGTCTGTAAATTAGACATTGAAGTACTTCTAGTGGATTTAGACCCAAGAGAAAAAAATAGTATTACATATTGTGCGCTCTAGTCTACATATAGAATTGTCTTTATAAGTTATAGATGTATTACCTTTATCCTCTAGATTAGCTGTCTGCAGACTGGAACTTTTAATGTCTTTTGGGGGTTTTGTGGCCTGACTTCAAAACAGTTCTTAGCTGGCATTTGTTCTACCATAGCCAATGACAATTGTGACAGTGCTAATTAGCCACAAGCTTCAGCCTTGTTATGAAAGTGGGTACTTAGATAGTAAGACTGGAGATCTTAAATTCTTTTTTTTCTCTGGAGAAGACGTCAGCATGTGATGGCATTGTTTCTGCTACTCTCTTTTGTAGAAATAAGGTTCTGTTATACTGAGCATTGTCCTGGCATACATTTTGCCTGCCATTAAACTTTATAAAAAGCAGCAAAACTCACTTCCTTCTTTGTACCTATGCAACCCGAAAAATGTAACTGAACTTGACACTCCAGGGCATCAGTGGACTGCTGGAGGAGCGAAGAAGTGTGCAGCCCTCACTATGGTCAGCCAGATTCTCTGCAGCTAGCTGTCATCTGTTAATGGCTGCTGAAGGCAGGATATAGAGCTAGGATATACAAGATTATCTTGTAGTCTAAGTAGCTGTGGAAGCTACTGTCATATGTGAACTAATCATGTCCCTATGCCTGAGCAACTGCTGAATGGTAACTCAGGCAGACCTTCAGTTTTACGAGGAGTAACAACAGCAAACTTGTTTTCTTGAGCAAGCAGTCCAGTGCTGCAGTGTAACTTCCCTGGCTTTGCCTTTCTGCCTCCTTTTTAAATAGAGCTGTCAGGAATTGGTGGGAGGCAGGGTGTATATATGTTAATATTCTCATATACACGTATGCATATTTTAAAAAAACAAAAAAAGCAGGAGGGGAATAATCACGCAAGTGGTGTCATTCTCCAGAAGGCTGCTAGAGACAGAGTTGGGTCTAACAAATGCTTCTGTTTCCCCAGTGTCCCAAGTGCAATATCTGTATTGAAAAGAATGGAGGCTGCAATCACATGGTGAGCAATTCCCTGAACACGTCAGATCTTCCTTGTTCTAAGCAGAATTTCCCCACACACACACTTTCCACTAACCAGTGCCTCCTGTCTCTTCTTTTTCAGCAATGCTCCAAATGCAAGCATGGTAAGTAGGATTTGGAAACAGTTTTCTCTGCAGTGTTTGTTAGTGGTGATGTTCTCTTCTCTTTTTTTGTGATATGAAGACAAATTGTGAATATTGACTGAAATATTTTTCCCCCTAGTAAAAGCTGAACAAGATATTAATTACAAGCTTGTGTGTGATAGCGCTTTTTTTTTCCACTGGCTGTGATCTCAACTGCATTCTGATTCAGTGCTGGTCTGGCTCCCTCTCCCTGACATATCCATTGTATAGAGAAGTCTCTATCTCTGCCGTAATATTAACAGTGGAATCCATCTCAGAGGAGAGTATTAAATGCTTTCCATGTAATTGTATTTGTCATCAGCTGAAAATACTGGCAGAAGTGAGCCATTTACTCAGATCAGCTTAAGTCCTTCTGCTTAGTGATGGAAATAATGAGCTTCAACACAGATGAAACTGCAGGAGCTGTGAATTGTTCTGCGTAACATTATCTGTTGGACTTCTCAGTCCACCCCTGTGCAATTAACAGCCTGAGTGTCTTTGGCCCATTGTGTGGTCCTACAAAATGGCAGCCTGTTCTTGCACTTATCTTTTCATGGCAGAATTGATTTCTGTTGCCTTGGAGTGAGATAGTTTGTATTCAGCCCTCTAAGTTAAGTGTGCCACTGGGAAATATTACAATATCAGAACCTTATTTGGAAGATGATTTAAGATTACTGTCCTCTCTCATTTCCTTTGATTTGGGGTCCTCAGTAGCACTGGATGTGCTTTGATGGAGCTCTGTGACAAGGGTGAGCAGGCAAGTGCTGAAGTACCATGGTGACTAGCCCTCGAGAAGGCTGGTGAACTCTGGAAATACAAATTTCGGTCTTTTATTATGAGTAACAGAGAAGTGATTCCTATTGTAGCAACTTAATCTCCACCTTTTTTCCTTCCCAGCAGAACACTCACAGCCTTGCTCTGAAATCAGGAAGCTGTCACGCGCGTTTTGCTATTGCTGTCTTTTCTCCGCTTTCTTCCCAATTCAGTGGCTCCTAACGTGAAGTGTCATAAACCACTGATATCTGAAGTTACCTGGATAGTTCCCTCCTCGAGAGAACTGAGGGCAGACTTTTTTTCATGAGTTAGTTCACTTTTGGATTTGATTGTTCATATTTTATTCAGCCAGAGGTCCGCACGGGGCAGTATGCCAGTGGTGGGGAGGATGCAACTGACAAATAAGACTGCAGCCTGCCTCTTCTTTAATCTAGAGTGACAGCCTGTGCAGAGCGCAAGTACAGTTCTGCCCATTGGTCTTGGTGTACAGGATGCAGCACTTCAAGATTTACTTTCCATAGTTGCATGGGAGGCTGTACAATGAAAATCTTCAAGACAGGCCGGTATTTTTGGCTCACTATTGTGTTCTTTATGCAAGATGATACAAAATGTATATGTTTCTTGGCTTAGCAGAAATATCTGAAGACAGATGGGCTGTGTCTCCTGAAGCTTTTCTTTTTCGGAAGTTTTTTTTTGTGCATCACAGTGGGTTTTTCGCTGTTTTCTGCAGACTTCTGCTGGATGTGTCTGGGAGACTGGAAGACTCACGGCAGCGAGTACTACGAATGCAGTCGGTACAAAGAGAATCCTGATATTGTAAACCAGAGTCAGCAAGCACAGGCCAGGGAGGCCCTTAAGAAGTACTTGTTCTATTTTGAGAGGGTAGGAGACATCTCCTTGGCCAGAGCTGCTGTAGCCTTTTAATGCTCCCTGCCTGGTGCAAAGGTCATTGCCAGCAATCTCCATGCAAGAAACTGCTCAAAGAGAATCTGTGCAGAATCTTCAGGCCCTGTTGTTTTTCACTCAAAATCCTACCCTGCGAGTCCCATCCAAACCAGTAATATTGTACCCAAAGCAAATCATGTTTGCTTGTGCTAGAGAAAATCAGTATTACCTATGTGCCACTACCGTTTTCCTGCAGGCTGAGTGCTGCTGCAGTAGATAGATATTGCTGCAATCATTTCCTTCCAGGATCGGGGAACTTCAGTTCCTTGCAGTATGTCTTTATAGAGACAAAGACTAAATAAACTGCCATGTTCAAAGCTCCATTGGCTGTAGCAAAGTTTTCCTAAAACTTCATGTAATCACATTTTTTGAAGTTGCAGTCAGAGCATCTCTGTCCACACAGCAGGCTCGATGCACCTGGCCATACAGTGCAATTCTAGAGCAGCATCTCTAGAAGAGAATGTGGTAGAGGTTCAATGCTACTGCATTTCAGTTTCCCCATTAAAATTAGTTTACTCTTCACACTGTGAGCCAAGTCCTTTGGTAAAATAAATGTGTTCATTCCTGGCTCTCCAGACCAGCAGGCTGTGGGAAATGGCCATGCTTACAATGTGCACATGGATGTTGGAGTTCGCTGAGCCCGTGTTAAATGTTAATTTAAACTCTTCACCTTTCTATAGAAATCCTCTAAGTAGGGGAATCACCGTTACTTTCCATCTTGTTAGACACAAGGTCATTGTGCGACCAGAGGGCATTCCCGCTTTGAGGAGCTGGGTTTGCTCCCTGCTCTTTGCTGCTGTCAGTCTGTTGTATACAGCCTCCGCTATTTGCTACTGGAGGTGCTGCCTTGCTGTTCTTTCCCACAGCATGTCTTGCCTTGCTGGACTCCTACCCCACTTCAATTTCTGCTTGCTAGAGCTTGTGCTTTTACAGCAGCGGTATTCTGGTCTCATGCCATTTTTTTCTTTCCCCATCTCCCGACCCCTTGCAGTGGGAGAATCACAATAAAAGCCTACAGCTGGAGGCACAGACATACCAACGAATCCAGGAGAAAATCCAAGAAAGAGTTATGAACAACTTGGGAACATGGATAGACTGGCAATACCTACAAAATGCTGCAAAACTACTTGCAAAGGTGAGTAGTTGTGGTTTGTTTGGCCCAGAGAAGAGAATACACACCAGAATGCTAAATTCGCAACACCAAGTGAAGAGGGAGTTCAGGGGTTGTGGGTATGTGGGAGAGTACCTCTGGTTAAGGACATGAACTAACCAAAAATCATCTGGAAGTGACCTCTGTGAAGTTATACTTTAACCACACAAGTTCTTCCAGGGAACGTTTAGGAAATTCCACCATGAAGTGTCTAGTCATGCTTGTCAGAAGGTAGCTTCTTAGCCTGTAGTGGTCACACAAATGTGACTGTGCTGACTTCCAAGTCTGAGATTTTTGTCCTTCTTTTCTCTCTCTTTCTCCCACTCCCCAACAGTGTCGTTACACCCTGCAGTACACATATCCATATGCCTATTACATGGAGTCTGGTCCCAGAAAGAAACTGGTAAGATGTTTTGCTCTTTTTTCTGATAGCTTTTTGGGGTGTAGCTGGGCTGGATTCCAGAGCTTGGCAGTGTCTGAAATATTAGTCCTGAGTTTGAGGTAAGGACAGGACAAATAATAGGTGGGTTTGCACCTTTCCTCTTCACTTCGAGTTGACCAGCAGCTCAGTCCTCTGATACATTACATTATTTTCCCAGGGCAGCACTGCACTTTCACTAACAAGCAATTTATCCAGAATGTTTTGAGGCTGGAAGTGTGTGTTTGTTCCTTGGTAAGACTTATCACAGTGCTGTGGGCCATATTTCATATGAAGAGCTGCTGGAGGATAGCTTTTCCAGCCGTGAATCAGGATGTAGTTTTGCTTTTTATTCCTGCTGTAAGTTCCTTGCTGGCTTGGAGCATCCTGTGGGCTGGACATGTCCAAAAATAGCCCTGAATTCGCTGAAGAGGTTGGTTCTTTGACTTAGTTGTCCAGTAAAACCTATTATCCAATCTCTCCCCATAGCATCATATGTATTCCCTGAGGCTGTGGACAGATGTTCTCTTCTGGGTCTGACTGTGCCAGTGGAACAAGTTACTGCTCCCAGGAGTGGTTACCAGTCCCTCTGCTCTGCTTGCAGAGCTGCTCACGAGAGCATTTCCTGACCCGTTTATGGCAAAATGAGCTGAGTTAGGAGATATTTGTCACTTACAGTGGTTTTAGGCTGACTGGTTAGTTTTGAGTGATGCAGGTTGGGGAGTGCTTACACAAGAAACTCCTGGAAGGGGTGATGCTGTGTAGCTGAAGGTGGATAAGGAGGAGGCACAAACCTGCTCTGGCAGCACAGCTGTCAGCAGAACACATTTGTCTGCTCCTCAAGTGTAGTGTGTGGTATGAAACTGCTCCACTAAACTGGTTTCTTGTTGCTGTCTCTAATTTTGCTCTTTGCAGTTTGAGTACCAGCAGGCCCAGCTGGAAGCTGAAATTGAAAATCTCTCGTGGAAGGTGGAGCGAGCAGACAGCTATGACAGAGGGGTGAGTGTTCTGCTTGCTTGAGTCTGCTGGCCGGATTTTGTTTGTTGGGCTTAACACTTCTGCAGGAGCGCTAAGGCAGTCAAGTTGAGGATTCTGAGAAACTAGATCCAGAAACGCACCTTTAGCCAGAGGATGTTGTAGAAGTGGAGTGCTCTCTGCCTTACGGGAGAGGAGGGAGGGCTACAGTGAGTCCTGTAAACTGAAACGGGACCAAGAAAGCTCTGGAGGAAGCTGCATGTAGCCCTCTGGTGAAGAGCAGATTCCTTACGTGCGTAGCCTTTTAGACAGAGCAGGAGCCAGGTAACTGCAGAGGGAGCCCACGTCAAAAGGAAGAGGATCTGCAATCTTGTGATCCAGAGTGTGTGTGAAGGTTGGAGCTTCTCAGGCTGAAGCCAAGTCTCTCCCTAAGGAAAATGAGCTCTTCTCCAAGTAATTCATGCTAACGGTTTCTACCTTCTGTTTTACCAGGACTTAGAGAATCAGATGCACATAGCAGAGCAGAGACGGAGGACCCTGCTGAAAGACTTCCATGACACATAAGACAGGAGGAAGTGACAAAGTGCAGGGGTGAGAGCAGCGAGTGAAGTGATGGCAGCTTCACCAGGATAAGCAGGCACTGCCTCTGGGAGAACACGGCCAAGGACAAAGCCACCCCTCCCCTTGCAAGTCAGACACATGCAAACACCACATCTTAGTCCAGTTTGTTCTCTTATCTTTCTGTTTCTGTTTCTGCCAGGCTAGAGGCCAGAGTTCAGATTGGCATATTTCCTGGGACATTTCCCTCCTGCCCTTGATGGTTTCAGAAGAGGAGGGAGTTTTTCTCTGAATGGCTGTTAATAGTATTAGATCATTGCAATTTATGTAATTTTCAACGGTTGTACAATTATACAGACAAACCTTAGAATAACACACAACCCTTTTTAAAAATAAATTGGCAGTGGAGTGTTTTTCCTTAATCTGCTTGTAAATTTAATGGGCTTTTCCCCCTCTCCCTCTCCCTTCCTCTGACCCAAAAATCCTCCTAGGCGCTGAAGGAGGTTTACAAAATATCTCAGCTAGATTTCCCGATGCTCCTTTAACCAGGGCATTGTAGCATTGGCATTGCACGAGGAGAGTGGCTCGTGTTAAGACTGGCTGCTGCTGTGTCTGACCTGACAGTACCAGCAGTAGCCGTGATTTAGTATGATTACCTGTGACATCTCTTTTCTTGTAAATCAGCTGTGCAGAATCCTGCTACACAAACAAAAGCAAACAGAGGAACTGTAGGGGAGAGACCAGGTTAATACTGGGGGATATGCCTTAAGTCAGGTCAGGTTCTGCATTTGATGGATTTTAGGTCTTCCATGTAGATTTTTGCTTTACTTGTTTTTGTGGGGAGGGTGTTGTATTGCCAAAGTGAGTGATGAGGGCATAGTAGCATACCGTTGTTAATCAAGGCTTGGGGCTTTTGCAGAGTGAAACAATCCATATTATAACAGTGCCATGCAGCCTGGTAAAGATTATTTGTGCCTGCTGGGTAACATGGCTGAGAAAATTTGATCCCATTCATCAAGGTGAAACTAAACACCACTACATTATGAGGAGGAAAAGATTATGTATGACACACTCCCTGGCACATGTTGGCATGTGGACGGGCACTTGAATACAGGTGCACTGCTTGTGCAGAGCCTGCACCAAGCCAGGCAGAAGACTAACTAGCAAAATTAATTTATTTGTATATTAGTATTGATACTGGTGGGGACTTATCAGAAAATTGATTGTTAGGAGCATGTGGAGCTTTTTTATTAACATTCTTTTTTCTAATGTAAAATACACACTAAAATAAAAATATGAAAACCTAGTTCATCTTAGTAGGGGTTAACATGAAAAAGGTTACTTAAATGCTGATGCTTGCCTGTTTGCTACAGGAAGCAGGCCACATGTTAAGATTTCACGGGCATGTATGTCACCTGCACCAAAAACATGTTGTTTGGAGCCAGTAAAGTGGAGCTGGAGTCTCTGATTTGAGGAAATCTTCACCTCTGCGGGGAACTCATGGGATTCTCTTCCATGCTGTATGTGGAAGTGTTGCCTTTGATGCACCCCTGTATACTCTATTGCTCTTATATAATGTCACTTGACAAAGATTAAACTGGAGGGGGAAAAGTGCTGAATTCCTGCATGTCAGAATAAGCTAACTCTGCTGTTGGAGCCTTTTTCATGTACCTGAGATGTGTGAGCCAAGTATTTGCAGCATGTGTAATTGGGCAGATGGATTTTAAGAAGAGAGATGAATCAGTTTAAAGGAGTAGCAGCTGTCATAGGAGCTAATCCTGTGGCCATGCTTGTTGTACACAGGAAATTTTTAAACTGGGAGGCCTTTTCCTTCTTCCCTCCCTTCCCGGGATGTATCCTCAGGGAATGGGGGAACATACTGCTGAGGAGCTGCTGGCGGTGGAGTGGGGGTTACAACATAAGGGGCTGAGGGTACAGCAGGGTTGCAGAGAGGTGGCCGCAGCCAGAGAGCAGGGCAGGGGCAGGGAGGGAGCCCACGGTTTCTGGGAGCAGCGCTGCTTGCTACGCAGGAGATCTCCGTAACCGTGGCTCCTTGTGTTCCTGCTCTGTCCTGTTCTGGCTCCCCTCTAGGCTGGAGCCACAGAGGCAATATGTCCTTGCTCCAGCTGCTGTCTCCTGACTTCATTCCCTCCTCTGCTGCCAGCAGCAGCCTCTTTGTGCCCTCCTCATGATATATTCTAGGGTCAGTCTCTTCCTTCCTCTCCCCTTCCCAAATGATTGTCAAAGTCTGGGCACACTGGACCCAGGGGAAGGGATAGCATGGGGGAAGGCTTGCTGAGACCCAGCAGTTTGCAGTGCATAGAACTAATGTTTAAACTGTTCTTTAAAAATGTAATGTGCAAAACACTAATTAGGATAAAAGCTGGTGTTCTTGTTGTCTAAATGTAACTATCATAACACCTAATCTCTTTGCAGAACAGATATGCGGAGTTTCCTAACCCCAAAGAACTCTCATTTCTGTTACATAATTGTCCAGCTTTGAGCTAGATAAGAATGGTGTTTTGTCTCTCTCCCTGCCTCCTTCCCTCTCCCATGCCCCCACAAAATGCTTTGCTATGAATCCTTGTTTGTAGACAAGCTAGACCATATAGCTGTGGCCAAACTTACCGAACAGACTGCTGAGATGTTTGGCTGAGGAACAGTAATAAATATTGCACAATGTGCCCTCTAATTCTTTCAAATTTTCTGAAACTAGAGCTTTGTCAGCAGTTCTACTTACTTTAAAAGAAAACAAAACACCCTTTCTGAAGGTGGTGAAAATCCTGGTTTGCACACACAGATCCTATTTCTATACTCTCTGGGAAAACAACAGGATTTACTTACTCTTGCAGCCCAGGCAGGGTGACTTCTGTATTGGTGTCATACAGAAAATCGTAGACTCCAAGACGAAGCCTGCAGAGCGCAGGGACTATTGGCTCTTTGTGTAAAGTGACTGACACTGCTTGAGCAGCAGGTGACAGGAGGGAAACGGGAGTTCTCTACACTAAAGGACAAGGCCAGTTTTTTCCCCTCTAATAGGTACACGGCCCTATTCGAGTCAGCAAGGTTACGTCAATGTGGGTGAATAGAAAGTGCCTCAGGAGCCATTAATTCTGAGGTACAAGTTTCTCTTTGGTGCATTACTGCTACAGCTGTGGAATGTTTGCTCTCTTTTCTTCTTTTTGCACTCATTTCCAGTTCCTGCGCCAGCCCAACACCTCTCCATCCTTGCATCCGATACTCTTTTATTTTGGCTTCGCTTGTGTTAGTGCATTGGCTGTCTCATCTCTAACAGTCCTCAGGCTTCCCAGACTGTAACAAAAAATTTTCTACCGATGACGTAAACTGCATGACTGCTGCTCTGCGCACTGGCAAATGCGCTGTGCCTGCGCGGGGACAGGGGCAGCAGGAGGTTTCTGTACTATAGTCTTGCACTCCAAATTTTAGACTTTTTAAGTGGGTGAAAAAAAAATAACTTTATTTTTAAATGAGGCACTTGTTCTGGGAATTCCTTTCCTCGCCCTGGTCTGGTTCAGGCTGTGGGACAGTGTTGGTAGGGGGCTGCGCTGTACCCCTGACAGGGGCTGAGGGGGTC